ATTCTTCATTTCTGAAGAAGGGTCTAGGCCCGAAACGTCAGCTTTCCTGCTCCTCTGATGCTGCTTGGCCTGCTGTGTTCATCCAGCTCTACACCTTGTTATCTCAGATTCTCCAGCATCTGCAGTTCCTACTATCTCTGAAACAACTATTATGTTCGTGTTTTTGGAACAGAGACATATTGCAGTAACAAAAGCTAACACTGTAGATGCTGGAAATTTGAATTAAAAACCAGCCTGAAGGGTAATTGAACAGTAAAGAGCTGTTAACTGTTTCTCTCCACAGATACTGGTTGACTTGCTGGATATTTCCAGCATTTGTTTTTTGTTTAATGCCTGTATTGCAGGTTGTTTTCCTAAGTACAATGTATGTGGTCAAATTTTTGATTGTGTTAAAGTTTGTAGGTTCGTTTACAAACACTTCCATGCATTTTTTCAGTTCCATTTCTTTTACATTAAGTAATGGATAAATTCTGAAAATAATGTATATACAAGGTTTATTTCTATCTTTGTGATATCATGAAATTGTCTCAAAAAATAGCCTCATGGCTTCACTAAAGCTAAAACTTGGGCTTGTTGTATTGTGTGGTTTATAATATTTGTAAGGAATTTGTGTTCTGTGTACCTCCTTTACTATCATCTTTATTAATTTCTGTTACATACCATCTTAAGGTGCACAGTACTTAAAAATTGAACTGAAAGTAATTTTAAAACACTATCATTCTCAAGAATTTGATAATTTCTTGCACTTTTTTAAAGTACCTCAGAATTGTCAATTCATAATTTCAAAATGCCTTTTTATTTAGAAACCAACTGGCGAAACATGGTAGAAGCCACTGATGCACCTGAATGTTCTGAGAATGAGAAACCCATGTCAAGTGTGACCACAGGTCTGGATAAGTCTTCAAATTTACCAGCAGCTATAGGCAAAGCCAACAAACCAATCTTGGGAATAGCCACTAGTTCTTCTGTGGGTCAGACAACTCGTGCTACAAAATCCTCTGGTTCAGACAAGGAAGAAGGGAAAACTGACGATATATTAGAATGGGCCTCTCAGCAGAGCACTGAGACAGGATCACTTGATGGTAGCTGCAGGGATATTCTTAATTCTTCCATGATCAGCACCACCAGCACTCTTGTACCAGATATGCTTGAGGAGGAGGAAGATGATGAAGAGGAGGAAGAAGATGACAATGCTGCTGAACCTGTTACCATAGTGGTAACATTTAGCAGCAGAATTGATGATTGGGTATCAGAAGCACAGAAAACACTGGAAACATTGCAGCTCAGCAAAAACATTGATAGTACAGAGGAAGATCACAATGGGCAAAGTGACATAGAAGAACTAGATGTAGTGGAGCAGATAGACGTAACTACAGATATTGATGGCTCTCAGCCTGCAGAATCAGAGAGTCAAACCTGCTAATAATTTTAGATCTTGGACCAGCAGCTCTTGCTCAGAGCACAATTTATTTTTTAGGTAGACTCGTGGGATTACAAAAATCGTTTTGTCAATTTTTGCATTGAAACATAAGCAACTGTTAAAAACATTTTGTGCCCATTTTACTTGGAACAGGTTAATATCTGGTTTAGTATAGAATTTTTCCAAGTCAGTCGTATAAAATATCGGTGTGCATATCTGAAAGTCATAGGTACAAGTTGCAAATTATTTAGATTTTTTTCTGTCTTTAATATCCTCTGTTTGTTTGATTGGTTTACTCTCTTGCAAGTCAACATGTTTTGGCCTTCTGATCCAAGTTACATTGAAACTTTCCTTCAAAATGTAATTCATGAAGCCTCAGTAGCTGCTGCAATCAAATTTCAGAGCTAAATATACGAAACCTTTTTGTGAGCAATCATTCGAGTCTACCTACGGGTTACTGTAAATGAAACAATATATCAGCAACCTCAGGAACACTTCAACACATATAGGAACAGTTAATTTAAGAACTTGCTGTTTATAACCTTGTCATTTCAATCTTTCGCTGATATATGATCTGAATTAGTAATTGTACAGAAATGATAAAATTATATGTTAGCAAGTTTGCCTCATCTCAAAACCTGTCCGGCGTTAACCTAAGTTGTTTGGTGTAATTTGAATCACAAAATAAATGGATTAATTTCTGGATGGTTTATGAAGATCCTTTCAGAATCTCTGGAGAAAATGTAATAAAAAAAAGTGGAGATAAGCCAGTAGTTTTGTTTACAAGAATTTCGGCCTCTGAAGCGGTAGTAATTTTATAGCAGAATTTGATTTAACTCACTGAAAAAGTTCTGTCTGTATGAAATTTAAATAGCAATGATGGTGTTTTTAAGAGATCTTCTCCTTGTACAAACTACTTCTTTTCATCTTCAAAGTCCGATGGTATCCAGTTATGTGCAATGTCTTGAAACTAATAAAGGTGCGTGTAACCAGACTTGTTTATAATAAAATGATTTACCCATACTGGCTATAAAAATAGCATTACTGGGATGTGATGGACATTATCTGGAATTTGCTTATAGCAGGATTAGTTAAGTATAGGCCTGACTTGTATTTAGAAAGTTGATTAAATGAGTGAACAGATGTTAGAGGACTTAATTCCCAAATTCTAAATTCCTATTTCTTCCTCCTACCCATTTGCCCAAAGAAATATTTTGGAATTTAACCTGAAACAATGTGAAACATTTATATTTATTAAGTATGTAAGTATGTCCCTATTTATGTACGGGACAATACTAGCAAGTACTATTAATTTTAACTGAGATGAACAAGCAAAATCCTTTGTAATATTTTCCTTAACAGCATTGTGCTACATATGTTTACAGAAACGTGAACAATGACAATTGTAATTATATAGTTGATCAACTAATGGTTCCTTTGTACCTTATCAGGCTTGCAATTTCTGAGAATGCAGGTTGTGTGTTTTTCTACAGAAATTCAATTTTGGACTTCTTGTATAGTTACAGTTGTACCTGTGATGTTGTCACTTAAGTACTGCTGACAGCATTAACTGAGTAATATACTCAATTGAACATCTTTGTGAATTTAGTTACTGAGGTAATATATTTTTAATAGCATTTGAAAGTTGGACCTCCATTGAAAGGAGAAAGATGAGTAGCCTAGATTCATTTAAGATATTTAAGAGTTCAAATGCAAATGCGTTTGACTGGGAAAATCATACCTGTGACTTTACTTGCATCATGATCATCGTGCAAATTTATTTTACGTTGAATTGATGGCAGCCGTTTTTGTAAATCCACAGGGTGCATTGTATCTTAAAATACATGGGAAAGAAAGGGGCAGCATATTTTTGTCATGAAAAGTTAATTATCAGATCTTCAGTTCTGTTTGAATATTTACTAAGTAAAAATGTTTGTTAGTTGCAATCGAATGTAAATAAATTATGTTTACTTTTGTTAGTATGAGTTGCAGGGCTTAAATGAAGTGTGTAGAATTTCTTTGAGGTTTCTCAACTAACATAAACTGATTCCTGCAGTGTTATGTTAAAAATGGGTAACACTAAGTTGCACATTTACCTAAGCTGAATATTCAAATGGCTTTTGATGTAACCAAATCAGATTAAATTTGTATCACTTTCGAAATGGCATGGAAATCGTGATTGGTGGATCTTTCGACCACTCACTTATCTAGAGAAGAAAACATTTTCACTATGAAACGTTTGTTGTGTTATAGAAATGATGGGAGCAATCTACTGGTGTATGGCAATGTTTTACAAATGGTGTTTCCTGATTCCACAATAATGCATTTAGGTGTGCTTGGGAATTTGTAGTTCCTGGTAGCACCAGTAGGTGGTGTAGGCCTTGATCTGTTGCAACATCTGGTGCTTTTAAAACTTTTAGGAAACATTTCTAACCTTTGTAAAGAGACTTCCTTTATCATTTGAAATAGTTAACTGCATTTGTAAATTTATACCTAAAATGGAAAAATTGTTATACACTATGGTGGAGACTTTTGAACAATCTCCGGTATTTAATTCTTAATAAATAACTAATATATTAAGCAATGCAGCTTTCAAAATGATTTGGTTACCTCGACCGATAATTTGGCTCCATTCTAATGTAAGCAAATGTCTTGAACAAGTTTTAAATTCTGCGCTATATCATAACTGTTCAAATGGAAGAAAGTACATTCCAAAAAGATGATAGTTATAAATCTAACTAAAAATACCATGCAGTTTGAAATTCAAACAGTGGTTATCTGTAGCTTTTACAGTAAGACTGTGTGTAATCCAGTGGATCTTCCATGTATCCCAGATAATAGGAACCACTTTTTTCCATTGCCTGTGTTTTAAATAACAAGATTGTGAGAGATAAACATTTCTGTTTGGAAACATTCCCCAGTTTGCATCCCAGTGTGGACAGAATTTGTTATATTTCAAATACTCAGTGCTAAAGCAATTACAATTTGAGAGGAGTGACCTGACCATGAATTGTATTGAATAGAAATATTAACCAGATTTGTCCAATCCAACCCTGTAAAATAAGCCATGCTAATGTTTCTGTCAAAGAGGCAGAGAAAACTGAGATTGTTAACATTCAGTCATGTGCCTCTCATATTTTCTTTAAATAAGAAATAGTTAATATCTTTGTATTTTATTGTCACATAAGTTATTTTTAGAATACAAATCAAAACAGAAACAGGTGCAAAGTAAAGATTTGAAAATTAGTTATATGAAGAGTGATCTGTTTTTGTGCTTTAAACGACTAGCATACTGCATTGCATTGTATATAATTCAGTAATTAAAAAGGCATACTTTGCACTATGTAAATATTAGTAAATTTTCCCTTCTGTAACTAATAAATTATCCAGATTATTGAAGTTTTTCTTGCATTGTGTAATTTATTCATCATTCACTTGATACACTCAGCATTGAAAGATGCATTTAAATGTCTAAGATTAATTCTGGATTGCTTTGCTTTCACAGCTTTTACTTGGCTGTACAAATTACTTTTTATAGTTGTAAGAGTTAAACAAATTTGTAGTTATGCTGCAGAATTGTACAGTCATTCTGAAGAATCATGGGTGAATAATATAGTTCTATAGTAGTATCTAGTATATTTTTATATGTCGCCATCCTTTTATGTGTAACATCTGTATTGTATTGTGCCTTTCAGCAAATCAAAACTCAAGTACTATCTGCCACTCATTGTTAGAACTGCTAATAAAAATGAGGATGTTAAGATCCAGAATCTCAACATGACCAAGCATAATTAGAACATGTGAAGTGACAAACTAGTTTTAGAATAAAAATAAAGAATTTGAAGAGCCAGTTTTATAATGTATATAAGTTTAAATGTCCAGTCCTTTTATTGTTTTGTTTGTCTCCTTGCTGTATGATCTTCAAGACGCCTAAAAACTTAGCAGAAGCTTCTCTTAATAACATTCTGTGGCTAAAAGTTTCAAGTTGCAACAATATCCCTGGTGCAGTGGTTTGTACTTAATTTGCATAATGACATGCTCCAAAATAAATGACCTTTCCTAGCAAGGGGTACTTTGCTCTCCCAAATCCATGCAAGATATGGTTCCTGGAAAAGTATGCTTCATGTTGCTCCCTAAGTAGCCAATCAATAGTGAGCCTTAATGAGGGGTCTCAGATTTTATGACAACAGACTATCGCAGTTAATCCCAAATTAATCTCTGCATGAAGTTGACACAAGGTTTTACTTTAAACTAGATGCTGCAGCCAAATTACTCTTCATTTTCCATCTAGAATAGGAATCCCCTACAGATCTTTGAAATATTCATCTGAGTTTTGTAGCTGGTAGTATTCGACTTATTAACATTCCTGAACCCTCGGGTATAGGTACTGAATTAATACAATGGTCTGAAGGGTGGGACCTGTTTTGTATAGCTAAATTGGATTATGCTTCAGGAAGTTTATTGGACCATGTAATGCTGATGGTCTGGATACTTGTTTGTTTATGTCTGGTAAACATGAAAAATGCTGCTGTTTATATTTACTTCAGCAATTTGAATTAGGTGCAAACATAATTCTGCAAACTGCCACCAAAGAATCTAGCAGCTATCACCTATATGGTCTAAATTTGTCATTGATAATATTTTTCAAAATTGCATTGAAGTAACCACTAATATAACTGCTAAACAAAAATGAACTAACTAAATTTGCCATTTCTTCTCTATGCCTTAGTCCAAAATCCAGTGGGTGTTGTAACCAAAATATCAAAATCAATAGCCTATTGTTACTTGTTCAGCAACTCTTCATTTGCTTCACTTTAATAACTAACCCTTTTTTTAATTTTCTAAATACATACTGCAAAAGCAGTGAATTGTCAAGCTCTAGCATATCTATTTCTCGTTTATTCAAATAAAATCTGTAGCCAATTCTATTCAACTTGTGATATCTCAGTTATCTCCTTAAGAAATTATAAGAGTTCCAAAACCATGAGGGGTGGAGACAGAGTAGATAGGGAAGAACTGTTCCCACTGGCAAAGGGAACCAGAGGACATTGGTTCAGGTAATTAGCAAACAAATCATCAGTAACCTGAGGAATTTCTTTATGCAGCACATAGTTAAGTTCAGAAGATTCTGCCTGAGAATGTGGTGAAGGCAGATTTAATCAAGATCTTTGAAAGAGAATTTGTGAATTATCTGATGTGGACAAAGAAAAGTCTTGCCCAGGGCTCTGAGGAGAAGGCACATGCTTGGTAGTAGAGAGTTGCTCTTGCCGAAAGCTGACATGGATATGATGGGCTGAATATTCTCCTGCATTTAAATCATTCTGTGATTCTATAACAGGATTTAGAATGAGAAGATTATAAAGATTAGATGGTGCACTCTTAAAATATGATATATGTATATTGCTTTCACCAGTTACGCATTCAGGGTTTCAGAAGCAGCTAATTGCAAGTTATGCATCTCATGAGAAATCCTTCTGAATAATGTGTTATCTGTTAAGTGAAAGATATCTGTATTCCATGGGTAGGTACACCTTTCACATTAGAGTGATTTATCACCCAGGAAAGAGATTTGTCTGTGATGTCTGATTACTTCACAACCATAAATTGTATTCCCAAAGTCTTGCTTTATTTGCACAAGTTGTGTCATGAGCCTCGAAGACCATAAAATGTAGAAGCAGAAATCGGCCTTTTTACCTGTTGAGTCTATCCCACTATTCCTTAACCAAGTTTAATTAACTTTCTATTATCAAGAAGTAAGAAGAAACCACATTTTGTCTGTTTTTATAGTTTGGTCATTCTCCTGGCCTTTTGAGACGTTGCACCACAGCAGTTTGAGTTGTTGTGTGGATTGGTTAAAGCAGTGCTTTTTTAAATGTGTGTTACATAATATATATTAAACATTGCAGAAAAATATTTGTAAATTCAACTATGTTTGTCAATATCTGCTGCACCAAAAGGCCTTGAGATTTTAAGAACCCCTTTCAAGGGATAT